TTCTCGACTTCCTGAATTCGAGGGTCAATACACAAGTTGGATTCCAGTCAGAGTTAGCTTACTTTTTCAAAACAAATCCACAGCTCTGAGAGGAAACGTTAAATGACATTTCAGTCCAGAATGAACCGAAACGTCGTATAACAGCCGGGATTAAAAGAAATAAGGAGACAGCCATGGTCAGGAGAAGGAGACAGCGCGTTTCGGTGCTTCATACGTTTTAATATTTTGAGAATGTCCACTTTGACAAATTCGCTTCAACCTTGAGTTTAAATTATCAAATATTGCTTAGGGCAGATTACTTTGAGTAATACTGTTGTTACTACTCCTACTACTATTATTATTACTACTGTTACTACTATTACTACTACTTCTACTACTACTACTACTACTACTACTACTACTACTACTACTACTACTACTACTACTACTACTACTATTACTACTACTAATGTCATGAATAAGGAAGGGAGCTACCTAGATAACATAGTATTACGATATTTATTGAGGAGAAGTAACGCTCAGAAATTTTTTATCAATATAATTGCTAGATAAAGATCTGGTGAGTGAGAAGTCTTCTCAATAAATATGACACTGCTATACATGTGCAATATTTAAACCCTCTACCCTCCTTCTTAAACTTCCATCAAACTCTCCTACCGGCTTTACACAGAGTGGGGTGGGAGAGTGGGCGATTGAGAGGGATGGACGAGCGGGCGAGGAGTGGATGGGATAGTGGTATCGTGTGAGAGAACGGTCAGATGGTGAGCCAATAAAGCAGGAATCACTGGCTGGGATTCAATAATGGTAGCCGAGACGTCTTCCAGGCCACGACAGGTGGAAGAGCTTGAAGAATCACACAAATGCTCGCTCCTTACCCCACACTTCCCAAGAAACGATGTTTCTTCCAGAATTAAGACAAAGAGAACTGTGACGGTAAGGCGAGAAGATATAATATTTTTCTTTTATTTTTTTTAGGAGAGAAAATGAAACATACAATCTAAAATCTTCAGTAGCTTTCAAAAAATAGGTTGGGTAAATATATGAGTAAGAAGAGTTGGCTTTTAAGAAGGGATCTGCCATGAGAATAATACAACCATCCGCACGGAGCCAAAAACACTGATAAAAGCACCTACAGTAAGCAAATACAATACAGTAAGCAAGTACAAGCACCAGCAGGAGGCACATACATGATACAAGCCCCCGACAACAATTATCCCCATGATACAAGCAGCTGTGTAGATTAAATCATCCGAAGACACTGTAGACGCTATACAATTAGCCGCAAGCTCCCATGACAAAGATACAAGCACACACAAACAGCTAAAATTACGGTAAAAGAAACTCCAGATATTAATGATTACAATACAAGCAGCCACAAGCAATATGATAGCACCACAAGGCACCAGACACAGCCAAGACAATGAAAAGAAGCCACAATTAGTCACAAGAAAGCACGGCCATGACACAGGCAACCACACACACACCTCTCAGTTCGTACCCAACTAGAGACAAACACTAATAACGCTCCTCGCGGGAATCACAGCAAAATTGTCGCAGATTTTTGGCCATTCTCTGCAAATTGGTGGTGTGTGATGTGGGCTACGCAGTCCCGTCTGTTAGTAGCTTCCCGAGCTCTCACTATGTGAATGTCTGTCAGCCCACTTATCCGTGACTGCATAGGTCGAGTCATAGCTCTTGGACTCGATTTATATCTGGGCCATGAAAGGATTTAGTCCCTCCTTTGTTCGTGGGTCCTATCATACTTATTCTTAAAGCTTTGTATGGAGTTGGTTTCCTCCAACTTCCTACCTAGGGCATTTTACTTCTTGATCACTGTGGTTCTGTTGTTTGTTTAACTTCCATCTTTGTTCTCGTGTTCTCATTTTCCTAATCACTCAGTCAAGTCTTCTGAATATTTTATGCATTGTTATCATGTCTTCCGTGGTCCTCCTGTCCTGTATCAGGTTCACTTCCTTTAGTCTCTCATAGTTTATTCCTCTTAGTTCAGAGGCTAGTCTTATTGTGAACTTTTGCAATTTTTTCTGGTTTCTTGACAGTCAGCGCTGTATAGACCTTGTGGCTTAGCGCTTCTTTTTGATTATAATAATAATTGACAATCTGGTGTTGCATACTCGAGGACAAGACTGACGTGTTGTAGATGTGCCACTCCTCCGATATGGTCGGTACTATGCTCACCCGTAAGTCCCTCACCTTGAGTGAGGTTTGTAGACTTTGTCTCCCGAATCTTTACTTAGTTTCCGGTCTTCTTTTCCCTTCCCAAATTTTCATAACCTTGCATTACTTGCGGTTTAGTCGAGAAGCCACCTGTCTGATGGACCAAGAGTCAGTATGCTTGTGTAGCCCTTATCTGTAATCTCTGATTTTTCTACATTTCGTTTATTTCATCTCCTGTACGAGCAGGGACATAGAGTGTCTAATATCCTCCGGCATATTGTTCCCATACATCAGAACCCCTTTGTGGAACCATTCTTGCTAGACTTGTTTATACTGGTGCTTCTTCTCACTCTACAGTTCTGGCTCTGGGGTGTTGAGTGCGGCAACTGTGTTTTGCAGTTTAGCACACGAATTTTGGAGACTTAAAGTTGGGGTTGAAAATTTGGCAGCTATGATTGAGTTTAGAAGCTGATATTTGGAGTTTGGCAGGTGGCGGAGTTTGAAAACGGGTCGAGGGAGCTGAGGTTGGGATGATGTGAACTACGGCTGTTATGACACAAAATGCGGCTGGTGAGTAGTGGTTTGGAAATGACTTCAGAGTTGGGGAGACAGGAGGGGCAGGGAAGGGTGCACTGAGGTGGAGGGTTGGGCAGTGTTTGCTCAGCAGGCGGGAACGAAGGGGAGTATTGTGTAGGTTTTATTGCTCTTTGTTCGCTAGCCCTTCCCTTTCCCCTCATCAAATCTGGATTTCATTTCCTTTACTTTCATCTCTCACACGCTCTAATGCGCCCATCCCTGCAATCCCTCCAAGAAAACCTCAAATCATCAGAATCCTTCAGTTAATGGGCCGCCTAAATTTGATTCTGCGTATTGGGTGTATGACCCATACGAATTTAGCGTGTTTTCTAATGTAATCAAAATAGTTTTATTCTGTCTATTGCTTCGTGTTCAAATTTTAAACATCCTCGTACCAATGTATTCAGCTGCCCATTAAAGTATTACATCTTTATTTTGCATTAACCTTAAAATAGTGAATACATTACTGGCCAGCCATGGCATTTTGTCTAATTTTGGGCCTAATAATTCCTTGATTATATTATAATCGTCTTTCATTGAATGGTAGGCCTTATGTTGTTGTAGCCTCCACAGTCTCACTTTTCTTTGAGAATTTTTAAAACTGCTACCACTAGTTCTGTGCCTTTTGCCTAATCTCTATTTCCCGGATATGTCCTACCTGTTCCTGTCGTCAATTCCGGTCCGACGTTATTGGCTAATTATAATTATATCTTGAGATATTTTTTTAAGTTACACATGCATATTCAAATAGACTTTGAAAAAATATAGCTAAGCAAACACAGAATAGTAAGAGTACAAAAATAATATTATTCTCTGCCTGTCTATCAAGAAGCATGGAAGTTGTGAGTACCGAGCATCCAGTAAAAGTCAGAGGAGGTGAAGCGTTTACAAGTGTTGATATCAACCGAAGATCTGACCTGCATCAACGATTGTCGCATATCCTAGCAAACTGCAGCTTTTCCCGTATTAGCAACGTTTAATGCAGAATATTAAGAGAATTACCTTTTTAGCACTACATTACATCAAATTGTATATTTATAGCTAGTACTGTGGAGTTTTGTTGCCTCGGGGCTTGAAGCTCAATTATTATCGGATTATAATGTTTTAAAGCAGTAAAAAATAGTTATGCAAACCATGCATATAATGACTTAAGAAATCGTAATGACGACGGGCTGGAGTTTTGAGACTCTATGACCGCGGGTTCAATCCCGGCCGGGGGTATGGTTCATGCATATAATGCATATATGTTCTCTTGACTAATTGTTCTCTTTAATAATGCATGAATTTTGCAAGTAGCTAAGATTATTTTTTGTCGTGAAAAAGCGTTGAACTCGCATGTTACATTCAGCGTCAAACCAACATTCTTCTTCTAGATTCGCCAGTACTGCCGGCCCGGGTCTCTGCCAGATGGCGACCCGCCTTGGCTCCTTATCGCGGGAGTGTCTGAGACGTATGTCTGCCATGGGTGGAGGTACAAGTACCCCGTCATCTTCTGGGACCAGCTGTCCCCAGGCCTAGGCCCATTCCCCGCCCTCACGGGGCTCATAGGGAGAAGCTAGGCACCTTGGGCTGCCACAAACCCTGCCCCACTGGGCTCGAAGGCTGTGGCAGCTACAAAGCAGCAGACGATGTCAGGAGGTGCAAAGGCAGCAAGCCCTACAGGATGCTTTAGGAGCGACACCCCAGCTTTGGGCCGCAGCCCGAGCGCTGGGGAAGCTCAGGGATGCCTCTTGCTGTGGATGTTGATTGTTACTGCTTCTTCACTTGTCCGTTGCACTCTGTCAAACCAACAGAAGACGGAGAGAGAGAGACATAGGAGAAGATTCATTGCAACTGTAAATTCTTTTCACTTATCAGTAAATAAGCATCTGGGTGTTAATAGATTGTTGTGGGTGGTATCCTGGTAGAGAACTTTAAATAGAGCTGGGCTTCGAGATAAGCTAAAAGAGGATAACAGAGCTCTAAGTCTGTTAATGAAATCCTTCTCTAGGTGTAAGTGTGGGGACCCACAGCCTCGGAGAAATGGTTAAAAAAAGATTAAGGGAAAATTACTTAGATTTCTCGTCGAGGATGCTTGAATTTTCTCTTTAATTATATTCACGGGGAAGCTCTAAACCCGTACTGATAATACAGAGCCTGGGGGAAGAGGAGGTAATCAGATTTAATCAGAAGATGAAAGCACTTCACCGGCGCCAAGGTCGGTGAAGGATCAAACCTGTTTTTTTTAAGGAGAAACGACATTTCGTCACCTGTTTCCGTGGCTGGAGGGCAGACAGCGGCCGCCGTTAAGACAGGAATTGGGCGTGCACGACTCCGGCTCATAGGCGTGGCAGGCGAGGGCCCGGGTCAGGCGTGGAGTCACCAGTGAGGTCACGTTGGTGTCAACTACCTGTCAGAGGGGAGGGAGAGAGAGAGAGAGAGAGAGTAACGGGAGAGAATCAATCTCTGAATTTTTATATATTAAAGAGGATAGGCTGTGAGGAAGTTGTCAAACTGACAAAAAAATGTTTGATTTTTTTTTTCTCTCCGGCTCGGTTTAGAACCCCGATATCCAGAGTTACTGACGGATCAAGACGGTCTGTGTTGTCTTGTCGGAGTTCAGATGTTCGAATCTCCAGCATTATACAAACAACTAGCATCCCAGCTTTTTTGGTGAGACTCTCACCACCCGACTAAGATAGTTTACGTGTAAGCCAATGGAAGGTCTCGTTCAGATGACCAAAAGCTCCAGCTGTGGGTCATCATATGACTAAGACCCGCGTTAGGAAACGCTTGTCCTGTTTCCTGACAAATCATACCTAACCTAACCTAAAAGATCACTCAGCTCTCTGTGTAATTAAAAAATTCTATTCTACCACCAACACTAATCGCAGTATATCGAACGTAGAGGTAAAAACAGGAAAGACCATTTACGTTCTTGAGAATAAAGGAGAATATAGAGTTAGAGAGAAAAACAAGAGAAACGGATGTTTAGCCTCACAGGGAGAAGAAACTCGCTCATGGGAACTGATGCAGTTTATGTGATCTTGATGCAAGAAATTGAACTTGTTCTTCTCTACCTTGGAGCGAACCCGACTCTCTTTCATTCCTCATGCGCTGTATGATCCCATTGGGATTAGCAAATCTCTAATAATAATAATGAAATATGCATTAACATTCACTAAGGCAAAGACCGTCATAACAAGAACGTTGCTAGGGTCGAACATTCAAAAGAAAATATGCAGCTAAACATCCAAGAACCGGTAGCCTAACTCCTGTACAATCACTGAGGTGTGATAAAAGGCAAAGGAGAATTCACCTGGAGAGGCAGAGCCGTGGAGGCACGGGTAGCTGCTGAAGAAGGTTCTGACTCGCTGTTCAAGCCCAGAGTTGCGGAGAGCGAAGTCTGTTGCTCCTGCTGGTGGAGTTCCTGCAGTGGGTCCTGGCCTCCTGCGCTTCTGGCAGCCGCGTCCTCTACCACCACCGTCAGGCGGGTCTTCTCCTCAAGCTGCACGATAGGACACGGACAACGTCTAAGTGCAATGATACACACCGCTCTTGTTATATTGAGATGTGTGTGTGTGTGTGTGTGTGTGTGTGTGTGTGTGTGTGTGTGTGTGTGTGTGTATGTGTGTGTGTGTGTGTGTGTGTGTGTGTGTGTGTGTGTGTGTGTGTGTTTTGTGTGTGGTGTGTGTTATGTATGTAACCTACCTGTACCATTTACCTCTTCAGGTTATCCCATCCGATTCTGAGGTTGAAGAAATTTTTTCTGACATCTCTGTGACTTATTTGTTTTTAAGAACCAACTGTGCCTTCCAGTACCCGTCTGTGTGCGTGTGTGTACTTACATGTACGCGTGTGTTCTGCTTTCCTACAATATTTTCTAAACCATATGAGGTAACATATTGAAATTTGGTTCAGGTGTGGAAATGGACCAGAGTGCGCACCAGTTTGTGTTGGTATGAAAAACTTCCCCTACTCGATTTATTCAGAGGGTTGCTGATCACCACCCCAAATGACAGTCAAAATTTAGTTTACATACATACATACATTTATATGTATGTATATATATATATATATATATATATATATATATATATATATATATATATATATATATATATATATATAATATATATATATATATATACCTAGGTAGTAGGTTGGTAGACAGCAACCGCCCAGGGAGGTACTACCGTCCTGCCAAGTGAGTGTAAACCGTAAGCCTGTAATTGTTTTACACGATGGTAGGATTGCTGGTGTTTTTTCTGTCTCATAAACATGCAAGGTTTCAGGTACGTCTTGCTACTTCTGCTTACACTTAGGTCACACTACACATACATGTACAAACATATGTATACACACCCCTCTGGGTTTTCTTCTATTTTCTTACTAGCTCTTGTTCTTGTTTATTTCCTCTTATCTCCATGGGGAAGTGGAACAGAATTCTTCCTCCGTAAGCTATGCGTGTTGTAAGAGACGACTAAAATGCCAGGAGCAAGGGGCTAGTAACCCCTTCTCCTGTATATATTACTAAATATGAAAGGAGAAACTTTTGTTTTTCCTTTTGGGCCACCCCACCTCGGTGGGATACGGCTGGTGTGTTGAAAGAAAGAAAGAATATATATATATATATATATATATATATATATATATATATATATATATATATATATATATAATATATATTATAATATATATATATATATATATATATATATATATATATATATATATATATATATATATATATGGGATTCTTCCCCTTGCGACCTGCGAGAACTGGAGGCCAGACTAAAGAAATGCTTGAATAAATATAATTATATTAAATTTTCCCCATCGGCCATCTCCCATCAAGGTAGGGCGACCCAAAAATTGAAACATTTACGGTCCTTCATTCAATAGGTGTCTCTCCGTAAGTGCAGAGACGTCACTATTCAAAATGACCCTCTGAAAAGTATCATTCACACCACTCCTTCAGGGTGCAGGCATTATCCTTTCCAACCTCCAGGACTCATATCAGGCTAACCGGTTTCCCTAAATCTTTGCTTCAAAACTGTTACCTTTCTGGCATTCCAACAGCACCTCATATTCTTATGAGGCGGCGTTCAACCAATTGAATTATGCAACGTAAGAAGCTCGATCCTCCGTTTGCAAGATACGCTGCTTTCATAAGCCTTGAAAACTAATAAATGCTAACACCGCATCCAAATAATTCACAGAGAGTAAAAAAAAAAAAGTAGCAGTTTATCTTCGGAAGTGCACAAGTTCCTTAAACGCAGTTAATTAGAGTTGCTGGCTTGTGTTCCGACGCGAACATAACTTCATAATTGAACCTGGCAAAGGCTGTGCTCGACTTAAATGAAAGGATTAAAACAAAGGAAATATTTTCATTAATATGGACGATTCCTAATCAAGATTACTCATTTAATTTACATTGCTTTGAGGATATATAACTTTTTTTTTTTTTTAATATTTGGTTTGTATTTATCGATTCGTCAAACTCACTTGGCTGAGGAACGCTTCTCAAAAATATTGATGTAAATGAAATAAGAATGTCATGAACCCTATTGTCCATTGAAAGTGGACCACGGACCACCAACAGTGGTCCATAAACCACTGACTGTTGGCCACAACTCATTGAATGTTCTCCGCGGATCACTGATTGTGGGGTACGAACTCTTAAAGTTGGTTCATGGACCAATGACACTGATACATGGACCACTGACAGATATCCACACATTACTATGGGCCACTGACCACTGACAGTTGCAGGAGCTGGACGAAGCACAGTAAGGGATCAGATTGACTCTAATGAATTATCTCGTATTAACTCTCTTATCTGCTAGAACTTATTGCAGCTTTTTCATAAAATGTTTCTTGTTAGTGATAAATACTTGATTCGGTATATCTGCTTAAGAGCTTTCTACAGTTAATCCATAACAAAATAATGAAAACTATCTCTATAACTCTAGAAAAAACTGAAGGTTATAGTGCCGTACTATCATCAGCTGTTAGAGGACGTAGGATCAAGTACCAGATGAAATGAGTTAACGAGGAAGTGCTAAGCTTGTAGGGATCACGTACAAGTAAAGTGCCAGATTGTATTAGTGTGTGTAGCGCAGGGGCCTCAAAACCTTCAATATCCGACAGGGAAGCAAGACTACCTTGAGCAGGCTTATGACGGCGGGGGTCTATGTCAACACGGAACTCACCAGTCTAGTGTTGAGTCCAAGAAGACCTTGAAGTTTTACTGGGTCCATGAAGCGACCAGTGTCCTCCCTGACACTGACCCACACGCACGTTGATGGAAACTCCGAAGCCTTGTCGATCTCAGCATCGAACTGACTTCCCGGAGGAAGGGGTGGGGCGGCGTGGGGAGCCTCTTGAGGGCCAGCCTGCCGGGACTGCTGCTGATAGCCATAAACACTGACCACATCCACAGTGTGACCCGCGTCACCCACCACGCTCCTCACAGCCTCTGTAACTTTACCCAGGTGGCCACCACCGTCCTGAGAGAGCGGAAAAGAAAAGGGAAACCTTTTAACACAAATCCTAAATGGGTTACGTAAGGAAACATCTGTTTAACGAAATTTTATTTTTTCAATTATCTGTCAAAAAAAACAACTTCGATAAAGGATTCATGATTTTTCCAAAAAATTATGTATTTTGTAATATAATATAATATTTTATATATAAAATATATAAAATATATATTTAATAAAATATTATATATATATAAAAAATTATAATATATATTATATATATATATAAAATGTATATATATTTTTAAATAATAATATAATATAATAATATATTTTTACATATATATATATTATAAAAAAATATAAATATATATATATATATATATATATATAATATATAAATTTTAAAATTATATATATATTTTAAAAAAAAAAATAATTTTGGGAAGGGGAAAATGCATTTAAATAACAAACAAAAACCTGAAGACGGGGCATAAGTTGGCCGAGCAAGACTAAAGAGTACCACCCACCGTGGGCGCCCACCCCCGGGTGAGGCCCCTGCGGGCGTGGTGGGCGTGAGGGTGACGGGAGCACCCGGGGGGCGAGAGTCTCTGGCGTGAGCATTTTTCACCACCAGGGGGTTCACATTAAAAGGAAACCCCTCCCCTGACCCCACACGCGGTCGCTCACAGGAACTGCAGCTCGTCCTGCACAACAAGCGTGGGTTAAAAAGTGGGTGGGCGTTGGGTATACAGTAGGACATGGTCTGGGGAGAAGCGTTTTTGGAGATTGGGATTGGAGGCGTAGTTTTGGTTCCCGGGGGTTTTTATGGGATGGCGGTGTTTGCAAGGCTTGATTATTTGTACCCAAATGAATATGTAAACATCCACATATGTGCAGCTGCTTTTGGGCATTTATTTTAAAATTAAAGAAAAAAAATAGCTTTTCTTTTCAAAAAAAAGGCCTTTTAACCCCAAACCTCCCCTCAAACCCACTCTTTCATATGAGTTTGTTTTTACTAAGTGCAAATCTTGCCCCCCCAACTTTCCTTAAAAATGATTTTCAAAATTTTCGAAATGAACCGAAAACCCAGGGGGAAAGGGCCCTCGGTCAATGACCAAACTTTTCCACTGGGTAAAACCCAAACAAATACCAAAACTCCCCTTTTCACCTATTCCCTTAGAAATAACTTAATTTTTCTCTGATTCAATTAATTTCTATAGGTATGCCCTTAAGGGTTTTCCTGCACCCACATGAGGCCTAGTCACAAAACCGGGTTTAGGGGGCTTGCCCCCAAAAACCCCCTCTCCAGGTATACTCCGGTTTTCCTATGTCAACTTCACTTCCTTGAAAATAATACACTCTACAATAATAATATAATTTCAGAATAAAACGAAAGTTTTAGCTTAAAGTTGCATTTCATATATCATAAAATTAATAAGAAGAAAAACTCCCTCTCAAAATTTTGTTTAAAAAACTATTTTTATAACAATTTTACAGCCAAGGAGTTTGCGGCCGAGAAACACTGTTTTTTTTGAAATATCCTTTCAAATATAATTAATTAGCACGGATCGCAATTCTTTAAACGAGAGTTTCTAAAATGAATCAAATCATTTTTTCACCCTTCTGCTCTAACTGGATAATAATGTCAAATCAATCTTTTCCCCTGATTTTTCCCGGGCTGCTCATTCTTTTCTGAATGATTGTTTTATATACTTTATATCTCCTTTTTCAATTTGTTTGGCTTTTTAATATCTCGTCGGTTGAGTTTCTCTCTTTTTTTTTTTTTTTACAGGGGGTTTTTGAAAAAGGTTTTATTTTAAGGGGGCTTTTTTGGGCCAAGCTATTTACGGGTTAAAGGTTTCCCAAACTTTATTGGCAAGCTAAGAGCTTTACCTACATCAGCTCTTTTGGGAAGCATTTTTTTTGTTATGAGCCCATACAAAAAGTGAACAGGATAAAGGGTTGGACCCAAATCTGTGGGCCAGCTTTTTAAATTTTAAAATTCAAGATTTTTATCCCCTTTGACTTTTTTAGGCTGTACAATTTTTTTTTCCAAACCCGGGGAGTCTTTCCGGGGTAATATGATTTCCCCTTCTTCTCTCTCTCTCTCTCTCTCCTTCTCTCCTCTCTCTCTCTCTCTTTTTCTCTCTCTCTCCCCTCTCTCATCCCCCTCTCTCTCTCCTCTCCCTTTCTCCCCTTTTTCCCCCCCTTTTCCCTCTCTCTCTCTCCCCCTTCTTCCTCTCCTCTCCTTTTTTTTTTTTTTTTTTTTTTTTTTTTTTTTTTTTTTTTTTTTTTAACCCCGGGTTTGAAAAGGTTAAGGACCCTAGCTTTTTTTGACAGTTTATTTTACGGGTTTAAAAGGATTCCTAATTTAAAAGGGGAAAGGAAAAAAGAGCTGTTACCTACATCACTTTTTTGAAACCCTTTTTTGTTATGAGACTACAAGTAGGGAACGGGAATAAAGTTGGAGCCACTTTTGGGGCCAGCTTTTTTCATTTGATAAACTAAACGTTTTTCTCGTTGACTTTCATTATGCTGTACAAATTTGTGTTCCTTACTCGATTCACCCCTGGGTATGTATGATCTCAGAGGGAGTTTTTTTCGGGAGAAGGGACAGCCAAAATGAAGTTGCTGTTTTCTTCCCCGTCTTTGTGGCATAAAAGCTTTTTTCCCACCTGTCCTCGAAGGGGAAACCCAAATGTGGTTTTTTGACATATTGGCCTTGTACATAACAGTAAGGCCCCCCACATCCCTCCTAGGGTTAAAGGCCCCCGCTGAAATGACAGATCTATCCAGGATGGGCCCGGGCGAGGGGATGAGAGGGTTTTTGCTCTGTTCTCAAACCCCCTGCCCAAGCAGCCCGCAGATGGGGGGGGGGGCAGGCAAACCAAGAAAGTGGGGGCATACCAAGGTTGGGGCGTTTTTGGCCTCGTAAAAGGATCTTGAAACCCCCAAATTTGTCAAGCAGATGCGAGATACGGCGAAGGCTGTAATTTCCCTTTGGCTCCCCTTTTTTTCCCAAGAATTACAACATGGTTCTTCATGGTTAGTTTGGAGTAAATTTTTCCCACCCCAAGATATCAACTTCTTTCCAGGTCCCAAACACCCGTCCCTTTCACCCTTACTATGCCCCCAGCATTACCATCATGGTCCCTAGAGACGAACATCTTTTTGCTTTTTTTTCGGGTGCAAATTTTAAACTTGCCATCTTTTTTTTTCCCCAAGCGGGATATACCCTCTCAGCGGTGTTTTGATGTACTTAGAGCAGCTGGAAATTTTTTCTCTTGGGAAAAGGGGGAATGCCCAGTGTACAGTCGTCTGCATATCATGTGATTCTGGGATGAGATAAAAAGGTCGTTGAAGTAAAAATTCCATAACAGTGGACCCAGCCACTTCCTTGTGGAACGCTTGCCCCAATAGGGTGCCTTGCTGATTCCGTTTCCATTAGGATACACTTTGAGATCTACCATGAAGGTAAAACACTGAGGAGACATAGCGTAGAGCCTGCAATTCCCGTGCTTTTTGTTTTTTTCAAAAAGGCCCCGGTGCCAACCCGGCGAAAGCGCCACCAAAACCATGCTACCACACACTGACTTTGGATTTTAACCAGTGACTGGTGCCACTTAGTGGAGAGGTTTTTTAAAAACCCGATCAGGGAGCAGAGTAACCTTTCCTGGCCATTTGACGACACAAAAATAATGAGTGGTAGTCAAAAAAATCTTTTATTTGTCCCTTTAGATTATTTTCTCAAGGATCTTACCAGGGGATTGACAGGAGTGACACGGTCTGTAGGGGTGATTTTTGCTCCCGCTCTTCCTTTTTGTGAACAGGGACACCCTTTGCCTCTTCCATGGGAGGGCCATTTACACCCGTACTACATTCTGAAAAATGCGAGTTAGAAAAAGCTGCAGCTGGGCTGCACACTTCTTTAACAAAACTTGGGCTAACTTTTCTGGGCCCACAGCCTTTTTTTTGGTCAAGTATTTTTGAAGGGGAAAAGCAAACCCTCCTGCCTTTTTTGGCACCACTGACATTTTTTTAACAAGTTCTGCGCTAGCCCAAAGGGGGGTCCCTTGCTGGATCAGGGAAATTGCATTTTTTTAGCAAAGTGGTTTAGCAAAGAGGGCCGCCTTTCCCTTTACACTATTAGGTTTGGGCCCATCCCCGTCATTTAGAGGTGGGTAAGTTATCAGGGAATAACCTTGTCTGTCCTTGACCAGGGGGCCACCAGGTTTTTTAGCCTACCCTACCTGATGCTAACTTTCTTTTTGTGTCCACCTCCCATTTTGTAATGGGCCCCCTTTTAAAATCACCCATTTTGCCTACAGGCTTGCTTTTGCCAAATTCCTGTTATAGGGGTAGGATGTCTCTTTTACCCCTTTGCCATGCTTTTTACTTAGCAGTAGCAGCCCCCCCTCTAAACGAAAGGGCCCAAAACCCAAAGGGTGATCTTTTAGGGTTTGTCACATATTTCCGGGAGGAATTTTCTTTTTGCAGATTAAAAGGGTTTTGGGCCATGAAGGCTTTCACTTGGTTGTCCCAAAATCCCCCTGGGGAAGAGCAAATTCCCGTCGGGGGTTTGGGGAGCTCAGAGAAAAGGGGTGGGCCCAAATTTCCTCTTTCCCCTACCAGGTTTTTGCGTGGGACCCCCTCACCTCGTTTTTGTTGGGATCTTTTAAATGTGGTAAAAACACCTTGTGGTCAGACGACCCAACGTAGCCGAGGGGTTTTACCCAAATGACATGCCTTCTCCCAAAACAATCACAAATTTGGGGCAAAAGGGGGGAGCCAGAATGAGTAAGGGGAAAACAAAAAAAAGTTTCTCCCTGTCAAACACTGCAAGAAGGTCTTTAAAGTCCCCTTTTTTAAGGGGCGGTTGAGGTCCCCCAAAAATTAAAATATGTTGACAGTTGTGTTTTAGCAGAAGGGGGGGTTTAATATTTTCCCCTTAGGAAGTTGAAAAGGGGCTGCATGTTGGGCCCCTGAGGTCTGTACATTGCCCCATCTAGTACAGAGGTTTCTAGTTTTTTTTAAAAAGAGCTTGAAGAACACAATTTTCAAGATGTGTAGGGGGGGCAACATCTATGTGCTGGGCATCCCCCTTTTAGAGAAGCACCCAGCAACAAACCCCCTCCTTTCCCTTGCCTGTCTCTTCCATCCCTGAGGTTTTTCCGCAATTCCCTTTCAAAATTTTTTCCCGGAGTCCTGTCCCTCCAAAAAAGTTTTACAAAACTATCATTTCGGGACGTCGATGGGTTTACAAACATGTGTGATCCCCTCCAACATTAGTAATGAAAACCCCCTAATTTTTTTCCGACGGATGCCCGATAACGGCCCCTCATGATTTAAATGGTCCCCTTGAGGGGGTTTGGGGGTGGAGGGGAAAGTAAGGGCCTGCCCTTGGGGAGAGGTAGGGGGACTGAGGCAGCTGCAGGGATGGGGGTCTGTGGTTCCCTTTTTAAAAGGGCCCCAAACCCACCTGATGGGGTGGGATAGGAGTACTAAGTGGGGGACGTGGAGAGTGTTTACCAATTCAGGGGAAACCTGCTGGTTTTTTTCTGAGAACAAGGGCTCTAAAAAAGGTGGGCCCTGTCCCGTCAATTCCTTTTTTTTTCCGACAATGGTCCCTCCTTATGTCCTTTCTTGGGACAGTAGTTACACCTGGGATCTCGCAGGGAGTTGTTGGCGAGTGCCCCCTTTCCCG